GCATGAAAACGACTTAAGTTCCATTATATTACAGAGTATTGTGGGATGAGCAAAGAACACGTACTTGGGCCGGGGATTTAGCTTAGTGGTTTGGCTGCCTGCCTTGCAAGCGCAAGGACCCAAGTTCAATTCCCGGTACCAAAAAAAAAAAAAAAGAATATGGACTAAACACACAGAACTAGGTGTGGTTTCAACCTTGTAGCCATATAATTGAAACTTGACGTTCTTTTATTTATTGTCTGTAAGTTGCAGATGATAACATTTATTTCAGTGGAGTGTTGTAAGGATTAAATGAGAATATGCATAGTAGCTGGCACATAATAAGTACACGATAGGGGAGGTGGGTTTAGCCACTTCTTCCTACAGCAGGATGTCTCAAACTTTCATGTGCCTACAGTTGCACATTTTGCTATGACTGAGAATCATTTTCAGGTGAAGAGCTGGTTCAGTATCCCTGGGGAAAGGCCCGAGGTCCTGCATTTCTAACAAGTCCCCACGGGTTGACCAGGATGGTTCTCGGGGGACTGACTGCACTTGAGGTAGCAAAAGCTTAGCAATTATTTTGGGTTTGTTTTCATTATTGCGGAGTTCATGATAGAGACATGTCTTGAAAAAAATGAGAAGGTGTCATTCAAGAAGACAACAGACTGTGGAAAGGAGGACGTTCCAGGGCGATGAAAAGAAGTATGGATCTTGCCAGTACTGTGGGAAACACGAGGGGATGAGAAACCCGGAGAGTGAACTTGGGGAAAGGAGTTTAAGAATAAGGGAGTGTACCAAGACACAAGTTCTTCTGTGCCTCTCCAAGGAGTTATTTATTCCACGAGTAATGAAGGAACTAAAAAAAAAAAAGGATTTACATGAGGTGACAGATGAGCTTGGGCCAATGCAGCAATGACAAGATAGACTGAGAAGCACTGATGCCTGTGGAGACATTAAGAATACGGAATTGACAAAATTTTGGCATTCATAAGATATGGAAAGAAGTGAAATATAAATTTCCTTTTATACTTCTGAATTAGGTGACTGTGCAGATGATAATATCACTATCCAAGTAATGCAAAAGGAAATAAAATAATTCAGAAGGCAGAGATGAGCTTATGGAAAAGAAAATGACTTGACTTTAAAACATATTGAATCTGTGCAACATTGTCCAATTGGAAGTGTCTGTTAGCAAAGTTGGGGATACTGTTTGGAGAAGAGTTTGGACACTGTCATTTTCTATTATGTAGTATCAGAGATTTCAGGCACAGTAGTAGAGAAAGGAGCAAGAGAAAACAAGGCAAGATTATCCTGGAAACTAACATGAGGAATGAACCAAAGAAGAAAAGCCCATGGAAGAGACCAGGAAAAATAATTAGAACTGTATATAATCAGGGAGAAATAGTGTCAGAAGAGCCTAGATGAGAATTTCTAGAAAAACTGATGACTGTCAAATGCAGCTAAGAGGTGAATAAGGTCTGAAAATGAGGAATTGATGTTATTTATCAAAGTAGTCTTTGTAGAGAAATATAGAAGGAAAAAGCCAGGTTGTAGTGGGTTAAAAAAAATCAAGGAAATGTAAGGAAGCAAAAATAGTCATAGAATATTCATTCTAGCAGTCTGGCTATAACTGGAAAATTTTAATAACCTATAGCCAGAAATAAAGCTCCAAGATTAAGTGTCTCATTTAATTGATTTATTAATTCATTTATTCATTCATTCAGTCAGTCATAATTTTACACATACTTATGGCTGCTGGGAAGGAATAAGTAAAGAGCAAGCATTTAAAAATAGGTCAAGAGCTTTACTAATAAAACAATGGCCAAACCGGGTGTGGTTTATAATCCCAGCACTCGGGAGGCTGAGGCAGGATGATCACTGTGAGTTTGAGACCAGCCTGGGCTACATAGTGAGTTCCAGGGCAGTCTCAACTACAGAGTGAGACCCTGTCTCAAAAAAACAGTGCCCAGAAGAAGCCCCACAAGTCATGTGGGAAATGAGGTGGAGCTTGGCCATTGTGCAGGTGGAGGTCTCTGTGTGGGCATGGAGATGGCACACGTGGGAGCTCAGTTTATTCTGCAGAGTGGAAGGCGGATTCACTGACTGCATGCACCTGGAGACTAAAACTGTGTCATGAGGCCCAGCCTCAAATGTGGCTAATTTTTTCAATAGTATTTGACTCTGCTCACATTTACTTTCAGTTGTCCGTAAGCTTTGCTTATGCTACCTCACAAAAATGAAGGAGCATGTGTTTCATAAATTGAGCATCCTCTGATGTACTGATCTGTGGAATTTCCAACAGCACGCTGGCCTTCTTCCCTCTACACTCCGTTCATCTGGTTTTCCAGTCAACAAGAGGAGATAGAGATAGAAAGATGGATTGTGTGTGTGCGTGTACATACGTTACACACTGTGAGGGTGATGACATCCATAGGACCATCAAAGAAATCTTCCAAGGTTGCAAAATGAAAAAAAAAGTTAAACTGCTGCCTTTATTCATGCAGAAATCTTACTTGGAACATACCTTCAAACTCTTTCATCAAAAAGGTTATTCATGTCAAAATCCTTGTGTTTAAAATGATAATTTTGAGTCCTCAATTTCCTACTCCAGTTCTTAGCTGAACATCACTCATTAATGAACTAACTTAAAAGCAAGCTAATGGTTCTGGCCGACTGGTAGAGGAACACTGACTTTAGTTTTACACTTCAATTTTCAGGATTCTGAAGGTCAATTCAAGTACAGATACAAATTGGCCAGCTCATAAATCTTTGTCTTCTCAGAATTGGATGGGGGAGGAGGATAGGAGCAAAATACAGTTTAGAACATAAAAGCTCTAATTCTATTTGGAGTTATATCAACTGGTAGAAATGCTATTTCAAATATTTTTAAACAAGGCAAAAAACTCTGGAATGATCAGTTGTCATCTTGACCTCTTCGATATGTTTTCATTAATTCAATTATCACTCCTGGTAGGCTTACATTTTCTCAGTTTATTTCCCCAAATACTTCTTAAGTATCAAACACTGCAGTTTTTTCATAGATTCAGGCATCTGATCTCTTGAGTGTCTCCAGAATTTACCTGCACTGCACATCATGAAAGTGATGGGTGACCTAGGAAGGAAGAGCAGGAGCCCAGGGCTCTGGCACTATGTTTTTGCCTCCATATCAAACTCAGAAAATATCAACATCCTCCAGCTTGAAGCACATCCAAAAATATATTTAGAATAATGATAAAAGGCATAGATACTGTGTTGCACATAATAAAAGTTTGAAAGAAGAAAAACTATCATGAAATATGAGAGTTGTCTGTGTTAGTGTATTTTCCTATGCAAACAAGAAATACTGGTTCAAAGTTGCTAAAGAGAAAAGCAGGTTAAGTTGTTTCACATAACTCAGAGTCAATCAAGGATCCTGGATTTGGGCAAAGCTGGAACACTGTGTCATCAGAACTTAGCCTTTTTCCCATCTCCCCTCTCCACTCTTCTCTATACACTTTCTTCACAAGCCAGCTTTCCTTCTTGCTCAGGCAGTGGCACACTTACCCACTTTCTCTGCAGGACCCTAGTTATAAATGGGAATTTTCAACAAAAGTCCTAGTCTCATTGCCTCTAAATGACTTGACTTTGACCAAATCCCCAGTTTAACTCCTGGAGATTACATAAAACTTTACCTTTCTTCATACGAGAAGGTGAGCAAATGCCAGATAGAACAAAACAACATGTCCTAGGCTGCTTTCAAATATGTGGTGGGCTGTCAAGATGGTAAGAAGGTAAACTAATACAAAGCCCCAGAAATGAGAGGTAGATCTCCTGCGTGGATCTTATAGGAAAGCAGATTTCAACTAAACTTTTCACCATTCCAAGTTGAAACAGGCTGCTTCAGAGGTGCCAAGCACAGTCCCTCGCACACGTGCAGGAACAGGCCAGACAGGCAGCTGTCAGGAGTGCTGGCAAGGAATCCCCCGCATTAGGAAGAGCTCTGCCTACATGACCCATAAGGTTACTTTTGACTCTACAATTCTATTACCCTTGTTAATTTCCACAATTCAATTTGCAGCACAGGATAAACAAATCAACCTAATTTGATCTGGAACTTCTGCAGGCCATCACAGGCCATTTAATCTAAAACACATGGCCTTAGCCAGTGCTGTTTTCTGAAGTCATCTAGCAGACCTAGTCCTTAACAAGGTCGCCAATTTCTTAGTTTCACTCATGGATTTTTCCAGCCTCCTGCTTATTTCACAATTGCCTTCCACCCTCATTTATTTATTTTATTTTATTTTTTTGGTACCAGGCATTGAACTCCAGCCCTTGCGCTTGTGAGGCAGGCAGCAGAACCACTGAACTAAATCCCTGGGCTGATTTCTTTCTTTTCTCTTTGGGTTTTTGTTGTTGTTGTTGTTGTTGTTGTTACTGGGGATCGAACCAGGTTCTTGTGCTTGCGAGGCAGGCAGCGGAACCACTGACTAAATCCCCCAGGCCTCCACCCTCATTTAGATCAGGGTAGAGTGAACATAAATGATTTGCCTTCCTTAACTCCTCTGAAATCTTATAGATGGTAAGTCCAGATTAAAATTACATTGCTTACATCTTTCCTTCACAATTTGGCTTCCACTTTGCAGATTTTAGAGTCCAAGAGCAATGGGTGAAAGGGCCACGGATAATCACAGCTCTACACTGTCTACGGAGGCAAATTCTGAAAGATGAAAGAGTGAGATTTTAAAATTTGATATTCAAAACTAATTTGTAAAGTAAATTTGATATAATGCAGTATTATTAGAGGGCAAAACCACTTGAGTGTTGCTCATTAAGAAATACATACTTGTGCATTAGAATGTTATACTTTAAATATATTTGAATAAAGTATGTTCTTTCATAGCTGAAAGCAGCCCCCCGCCCATACACATTCTCTGCTTAAACTGAAACTGCCAGGTTACAGAATCCAGCTTCAAATAAAATTTTGTTTTTGCCAGGTATGTCCATCCTTAATGATTTATGGTGTTTTCTGTCTTTTTCAGTGAACGTTGTATCAATGTTACAGGAATTCTGGGAAAGCAAGCAGCAGCAGAAGGCCACGTTCCCAAGTGAAGGTGTGGTCGTCTATGAGTCTCTGCCTTCTTCAGGGCCCCCCTTTGTGAGCTATGTGACTCTCCCCGGAGGGAGCTGCTTTGGCAATTTTCAGGTAAGAAGCAGCCATCAATTGTCAATGAAAGTGAACTGGGCTAAAGTAGAACAAACCTTTAAAGGGGTAAGATAAGTTTTTTTGGATGTAGGGAACAGTTATGTCATGTTTTATCACATATACCAGCAAATCAGTCAAATGTTCTATTTTTTAAATGGAAATGTTTTGTAGGAGGATATACATAGAATATGAATTTTATAGCAGAGTGTTTTATTTGCCAGATAGCTGCTGCTCTTTTGAATAAAATTTACCATCCTGGGAAATGGTGGCAAAGCCTTTCTTTCTATCATGGCCCTTCCATTAGTAGGAATCTCTACTTTTGTGAGTTTTGAAATCACATGTTGGTCAGTTTAATCAATCTGCCAAACACCAAAGCAGGAACCAGCCATGAAGTGCTGGGAGTCACAGGGTTCAATCAAGCACACATAATAAGCCCACATTCTCTCTGTAACTTGTCTGTCTTTGATAAACTTATTTAATTTCTCTTCTCTTCCCACCTTTGAATTAAGAACTAATACCCACAGGACTGTTTGGAAGTCATGAAACACACATGTTCTGGTGTGTTTAGCACAGTATCTGGTACATCATAAGTATTATAAGTACTGGCTTTACAATAATTATAAAGACCCTGCCAGTTGGTTAAGTGTTTATGGGAGTGTGTAAATGATGATACACTTCTAATTGTATACTGATTCACACAAAAACACTTGCCTACATTACCATCGATATCTGCTTACCCAATGTATGAAAGAAATTCTCACTGAGTAACAAGAAAATAGCAAGCAGTGTCCTGAGGTTATCATAACCTGAGGAATTCAATGTACAAAAACCTTTATGGTAATTACACTGATATGTCAGGGTCAGTGAAAGCACAAAAAAGGGAACTTCTAAATTTAGCAGTCCCCTTTATAACTACCTCATTAATGCAATAAACTATCTCTCAATTTTCAGTAGCTTGAAAAGATGTTTTATTTATACTTTAGGGACATTAAGAAACTAATAAACAATCCAGTTTATCTCTCAGCTTTGACAGCTAAGAAGCCCAGAGGCAAATTTCAATGTAGCCCTTTGCAGTGTGAGTCTAGAGAACTTAGTATCAATCGTTTTTAAGAATATCATCATACCTGGTATTGTTTATATTTCTACCTTTACTCTCCCTTTAAATTTAGTGCCTGACTCTCTTGCTTTATCCTGTTACCTGATGTATCTGTTTTTCATCATGACAAATCCTTCGTGGAGTGAGGAAAGTGTATACTTTCATAAACAGACCCACTAACCTATGCTGCCTAGGAGAAATCAGAGGATTCTTAGGGAATGTATATGCAAGCCGAGATGTGCAGTTGAGGGTATCCTGGCCAGTCAGGAAAGAAAAGATGTCATTCTCTATGTGAGGAATGGTGTGCAAAGCAAAGGAACAAGAAGAAAGCACAGGTACTTTCATCATTGTGAGAGCGTCGGTCTGTGGAGCAAGGTCCCTTGGGGGAAGGATAGTTAGGCACTCATATCAAACCTTAAGGGACCATCACACCTTGCAAAAGAGAATGGGTTTTACACTATATAAAATAAGAACCCTGGAAAGTGCGTACTATATTTGGATGTGTCTTAGAAAGGTTACTCTGACGTGAAGATTCTTTAGAGCCATGTAAAGCTAAAGACTGAGAGCAGCTGCTAGGAAGTAAACAGTGAGTTCCATGAAGGCGAGCTGCAAAGCCAGCCAGGTTAGGTGGGAAAAGGGAAAGAATCTCAGTAGGTGTAGGAGGTAGGATGACACCAAGGCTTTGGCTTTAGCCACGCGGCAAAAACACAAGAGGAGGAGCAGATACATGGAAGAAGAAGATGGAGCCAGTGTCAAGGACCTGGAAGCACCAGGCAGAGATGTGTAACCAGCTAAAGAATATAGGAGCTGAAACGAGAGAAATACAAATTGTATGTTTACTTCTCTGAGCTGAATCTGTGGCTGCAGGTACCACTGCCAATGTGTGGGGTGGAGGAGACGAGCCAAAAAATAGTCATTGGAATGGTTTCTGGGGGGAGAATAAAAAGAAAAATATTTGTCTAAAAAATCTGAGGATTCTCCAGAAAGGGGCAAAGAGACAGAGGAAGGAGTTTATGGAAGCCAAGAAATTCTCTTCAGACTGAGAATGCAAAGGACAAGCATCAGCCACAGTTGAGAGGTCCACTGAGGTGCACCCAGGAGCTGTGATAAATACAAGGTCTTTAACAACCTGTGGAAGTGTAATTCCAGGGCTAAGTATGGGATCCAACTTCAATGACAGAAGATTAGAGAGCCCAGGGACTTGGAATAGAGACAGTGTCCTTCAGTAAGGATGTAGAGGGCTCTCTCCTAGTCTTCTGGTAAATTTGGACTGAGAAACAAGGACTATCTAGTCCCCTGTCTGCGGGGGAGTTGGAGGGAAAGCATGTTCTAGTCTAATGGTCATCAGTGGCTTTCAAACACCTGTCACAATTAAAGCTGGGAAGGACATCTAAGACTGACTACTATTCAGTCCTCAAAGAGCCTGTGGTTATCAGTCAGAACCAACAAGATGAATTGCTCTTAGAATGTAAAACAACAACAGCAGCAGCAGTCTCACGAATGAATCAAAACAGTGGACTTAGCACATTCCTCCCCCTCATTTCTAGTCTAAAATGCCTTAAAATCTTAAAGAGGTGCTTGAAAATAAGTAAATCTGCATTAACACTGGCCACCAAGAAAGGATGCCCCCAGAAGAGTTGAACTTTGAGGCAATTCTAGGAGAAAAACATGGAATCAAAACATCAAGTGCAAAACTGCCAGTGTCTAAACACATACAAGAGAAACATACTTTGAAAGTAAAGAAGAGCTCAACAAACCCCAGGACCAGATAAATGAATGCAAAGAGCAGAGGGGAGGGGTGTACTGGAGCAATTTTAAGGCTCATTAAAGAACTGCTTTCAAAATTGTAGAAAGCCAGTGAGGTACTGCTTTTCTCTCGCCCGAGGGATAGTCAGCAGTGGATTTTGACCTCTCATGAACAGAAGTGAGAGGCCTGATGAGGACAACCGGAATAAGAGTCTCAGAACACAGCTTGATGTACCCCAGACACCGATGACAAGGGTGAGGGCAGGAATGGAGAAGAAAGGCAGCGGCTGAGGGGAGGCTTTCTAACCCACGTGTACCTGCGGTCCATTACCAAGCATTCTAAGAGGATGTCTGCCAATCAGCAAACCTCCCCGCCCATCAGTGCACCCTTGAGCCCTCTCATTCGGGAAAACACACTTGCTCAACCAAGGACAAAGGTCTTATTGGCCACCTAAACTGGTAGACTTCTTTGTATATGAAATGTCAATGAACCTAAGATCAGCAAACATTCGAGGAAAGCCAATACCATAAAGGAGAAGGCCAAGGCAGGTAAACAAATGACCAAGGTAATTCAGACAACACAGAACATAAGAAAATATTACAACAGATATCCTCAGAAAATTTTGAGATGCTATTTATCCCTAAAACAGATAGGAGAAACAATAAGCAAGACACAAGAGAGTTAAGATGCGATGGCCAAATTAGAACAATGAAAACCATAGATGAAAGAGGAGCAAATAGATGTGTGCATACAGATGATAGAGAAATTGGTAAGCACAATAAAGTTAAAAACAGAAATCAAGTAAACTTTCTAGAATTTAGAGCAAAAAGACAAAAAGATTGAAAAAAGACAGTATAGGAGACAGGAGGTAAACCAAAAAAGTGAATGTTAACAAGAGTTCTAGGAAGAGCCAAAGGCAATAGAGGAAAGGAAATAACAAAAGCAGTTATATTTTTTAATTAAAGAGAATCACAAGTTTTTATATTGAAGCGACCTTCACATTGTCGGCAGGAACGTGACAAGAGCTACGGCTACATAGGACTTAGAGAAAGCATTCTGCTTAAAAGGTGGATCTCCATTTATACATTAATCTGTTTTTAAAATTAGATTGAATATACAGGTAGCTTTCAGGAAACTCTAGGAGAGCTGATGAGGTGGGGCAAAATCTGGCAGACGTGGTTGACAAAACCAAAGACTGTGTCTGAAAAGATAAAAAGACACACCTTTGGCACTTTTGCTTAAGAAAAAAATCAGGACGGATGCCTCACCAAGTGTGAGAGAAGGGATGTGATCATAGGAGTGTAAGAATACTAAATAAATCATGATGTTAAAAAAGCGCGATGGAGGCTACTTTCTGGATATCAAGAAACTCTGCGTTATCTTTGTTAACTCTTCTCTTACTATAAAATTATTTCAAAAAGAAAATTTTTAAAAATATGTGTGTAAGGAGAGGCTAATGGTACCTGTTAAACTGTGACTAAGGTTTAAAGCCTTATTCAAGCATTAATAACTCCCACTGCCCGACTTTTCCTTCCAGCCGTATCTCCTGAAATCCTCTTCTTCCAATGCTTGATGCATCCTCCTAACTGCCTTGTGCCTTGGCCTCACTGAACCACCCCCGTGGTTACACTGTGACCACCTTTCTTCATATCTAAACCCTGCTCCATCTCGCGGGACTCCGCACAATGTCACTTTCTCAATGAGCATGCTTTCCATCTCCCTGCTAGAAATCCTTGCCTCCTCTCATTTCCCAAGGCAGTGATCTGTTTATCCACAGTGCTTAATGATTTCTACCTTGTGCTAAGGTTACTTATGTGCCTTCTCTGTCTTTGTCATAAAATTTAAGTTCCTTGAAGGTAGGGCTACATCCTTGGGTCCCTCGTGACATCAAGCACTATGTTTTTCTATAATAAGTGCCCAACACACTTTGTTGAATGAACGTTCAAATGAGTGAATAACAAATCCCAAGAATAAATGAAGTGAAGTCTGTAATTTTTATATGTAGCCATAGCAAAGATATTCTACCTAACTCTGCAAGGTAAGGGACTGGAAAGGAAATATATTTCTGATTAAAATATTCAAAGTGGACGAATTTGAAAGAATTGATGTAAAAAAAATTTTTTTCTGGGTTTAATTTGAGCATATTAATTCCTCTGC